CGAACAAGGAATTTTATTAATGTCACAAATAGATATGCAGACATACCTTAGAAAATGTTTTCTGCCAGTCCAGCCAGCCACTCACAAAAAAGTAAATATTTTTAAAAGGTACAATCAAAGAAAACTAGAATGGAAAGTGAAATTACCACCAAAGTGCAGCCTTTGAAAACTAAAATGAAGGAGAAGAAACTAGAATGCAGGAAGCTTCCGCGATAACAATACCTGAAGCTTGCATTGCTCTTCTTCTCCTCCTCTCCCTTCCTGCCTCGTTCTGCATGCAGATGCAGAGTGCAAAAGGATGGTTTGGCCCTGTAGTCACCAGAACTGCAGACAGTTCCCCCTCCTACACTGGTTGTCTGTTAAGGCAGCACTCAGAAGAGACCAACGGAGCAGAAAATGAAGAGTGCCTTGTGCTCAACTTACAACTTGGAAAAGTACTGATGCAACAGCATAACTGGGGGTAGGCTAGAGGGCTCCCCAGGGAACCAAGTTAAGAGAGATGCTAGAATTGCCCCTCACCCCCCACCCCCTAAACCCACAAAGTCCCTGCCCCAGCAGCATACCCATGTGGGAACTCGAAAACTGTTCCTAGCTCAGCAGCTCCTACTGCTGCTGCTTTATGAGCAATAGCTGGGCCAGGCAGCAGCTCAGCCAGGGAATGTTTAGGTGTTCCTGGCATAAATAAGACTGCTGCGCCCCTCCCTCCAGCACCCGCTTTTGGGACTGCCCCCTGACTCGCCAAACCCCGTGCCTCCCCTCCTGCAGGTCCCCTGCCCCTGCTCACTAGGAGCTTGCCTTGGACAGCACATTGTAAGGGCCGGGGCCATACAGCACAATGCATGGGAATGCACAGGAGCTGCCACATCTCTGCAGGGCTGCCTGTTGTCAGCTCTGTAGAAGTCAGGCCCTGCTGTGCAAGCTCCAACTGTATTCAAAATTAACTGGATTTTTAGACAACAGGCATGGTCTCTCCCCATTCCTGGAGATACCATGATATTTCAGTACATATCTCTGTATATCAATTTGAATTTAATTAATGAAGGGGCCATGTAGGTGAAATTAATGCAGAGCTTTTTCCATAGAATACTTCTCCCCTTGCTTATAATAAGTGACTATGTCTGTGGTTTCATTGACCAAAAAATGTATTCTTTTATTTCAGGACAATTAATGTGTCACCTATTCCAGTGTAACAAAAACAGCAGAAATGAAACATTGTATTTTGACTCCTAGGGAGACTATGCAAGTTTATATCAGGAGCTAGGCAAATAACTAATCACTAAAGCACCCCAAGGGAAAACCAGGAGCAACGGTCAAACTCCTAGAAGGAGGTTTCAGACTGAATAAAAGGAAAAACTTCATGGTTTGTGTGCCCAGACTCTGGAATAGACTCCCAGCAGGGGTGATGCAGGCACCTACCCTGGAGATCTTCAAAAGGAGACTGGATGCACACTGGGCTGGGATTATTTGACCCCAGCAGTCTTTCCTGCCCAGAGCAGGGGTGGGCTGGACCCAATGATCATGAGGTCCCTTCCAGCCCTAAACTTCTGTGAATCTGTGAAGCATAGGTGGGTCAGGATAGTGCTCACCTTGCCTAGCTACCTCATAGTAAACAGTACAAGCTCCTTATCTCTCCATTGAGTATTTCACAGCAAGGTAACTACTGGCAGGTTGCTGTCTCAGTGCCGAAAGTAAAAAGGTGCATCTACATGAGACAGTTTACTGCACAGCAAACTAATTTGCTGTGCAGTAAAATATCACTGTCTACACATGTGCGGCATTTAAGGCATAGTAGACTAATTTACTGTGCTGCTGGATAGTCCTGTCAGGTAAATTACTGAGCTTAAATGCACATGTAGGTGGCAATGTCAAGATTAGTCTACTCCTGCTCAGATTGAACCAGAGTATATTCAGTCACATTAATTGCATGTGTAAATGTGCCCAAGGGAATACAACCTTTGTGACAGTGAAGACTAACTGTGTGTATGGATTACAAGACAGCATTACAAGTTTACTTCAGCAGATGGCTGGCAAGGCTGCCTCTGGACCTAGGCACGTCTGAAAAGTCACCAAGGTAGCACCTTACCCTAAACTAAACAGCACCTTAATTTAACGTCAAACACATTGTAGAAGTAATAGTGTGCTCCAGCTAGTCCTTCAGTATCTGCCCATGACCACTCTTATCGCTACCTCAGAATGTACTAGCTGAGAATCAGTCCCTAATCAAGGAAATTAGTTAAAAGAACTTCACAAAGTGATCTCGTCTCCATTTTCTAATACTCATCAAGCACAGTACAACAGGTTTTTATTTAAAAAAACATTTAATTCATGGCACCGTTTAACTTTCTTTACTTCAAAAAATATAAATGTACATAAACTGTTAACTAATATTTCACTGATAGTTAATAAAACCAGAGAAATGGACAACTTGGGGAACAATCAAGGAAATTAAATTCTAGCACATTATGCAAATCACATGCTGTAGTTTTAAGACGACAAAATGTTAAGCAACATAACTCCATGAGTGTAACAAAGCCTCAATATAGTGAAGTTTTCATATAAGGCATCACAGTCCAAATATTTACAAGAGCATCCACCAGAAAGGGCATACAATTCACAAAGCACAGTCAAGTAAGGGGCTCTAGAAATCTTCAGAACATTTTGATAAACTTTCTGTGAAATTTCTCCTCTCCCCAAATTAATCATAAAATTCTGCCTTGCAGTAACACTCTGTGCAACTCCACTGATTTAATGGCACTCTCTCATGCTTACAAACTAGCTTTTTCTTCTAAATGGTTTAACTGAATTAATATGACATCTATTCATCTCAGGCGAGAATTCGTCCCTGTGCAAAGGGAACCGAACACAGCCTATGCAATTCTTGAAAGTACTATGTACGGGTCTTAAAAGGGGCTTAAGGATTTAATAGACCTCAAGTGGTAAATTTCACTCCAGTGGAATTATGGACTCGAATCTAATGGTACATCATATCCAAATGCTAATCAAATGTAATCATTTTAATAAGTGTTATCCAAAGGTCTATTTGCAACTAAGATAATGCTCCAGGAGAGAAAAGAAATACAAAAGGACACAACAGCACAGGGAGAATTAAAAATGTTCAGAAACGAATTTGCTATAGCTATGTTTGTCATCTAGCATTCTAGAAAAAGGGAAAAAAACCAAGAAGTAGTATATTTGAATGAATGAGAGAGAACAAAAATTAAATTAGGGCTTGAAAGAGGCATCTGCAAGATGTGAAATCAGTAGCAAGGAGGGCTGGAAGGCTAAACAAAGTTGTGTGTCCAAAAGCAAAAAACAACAAAATACCAAAAGCAGAGGAATGAAACATGATTATAAAGGCCAATATGTATTGCCCTGGAGCTCATAGCTCAGCTGAAAATTGAGTAAGATGGAGGAGCACTGTTAAGAATGAGTTAACAATTCTCTCTGATTTTTACAAAAAAAAGTAGGGGCAGGATGGCAGAAATGGAGATACAGAAAGAAAGGAGAAAGAAAAATATATTTCAGAACAAGAAATGAGACCATATGGAAAACTGACAGTGAGCTAGAATTCACATGAAAACACAACATATAAAGAGTTGATCTTAAACCAGCATAAATCTGTCAATTTCTATTCAAGTCATTTAGCTAATCAAATCTTTTCCAGAAAAGGATCTTGGCCCAGAAGACTAAATTTGCAAGACCAGCAAATATGGTACAGAAGTCCATATTTAATTGGATAAAGATATCAAATTCAGAAAGTGCTTATGAGCTGAAATCAGTGGAATATGTGGGCAGGAGGAGACAGACGATTGGTTGAATGCCACTGATATTATTGTAACAGATTTCGTTCACCACAGGGAACAATGGCTAACAAAAAGAAAGAAAAGCAGGAGAGGTGCAGGTGACATTCTGCTACAGAATGGGGGTAGTAAGAGTTGAGGATGCCAATAAATATCACAGAGACCTGGAAGAAAAAACTGATGTTATACAACTGACTAGATAAAAGAAAAGAAAATGTAGTGAGTTCTAACACACAAACAAAACAAAACCTCACAGGTCAAAATTGAATACGGCTCCAGAAAGGTTCTATGGTTTAGAATGAGTAAAATAGTCAAATATAATGGTATATTTTAAAGGAGTCATAGCATATTTTTAAAAGAGTAAAATGCATGTGAAAAGAATTAGAAAAGACACTGCTGAAATCTAAGAAGAAATCAGTTCACACCAAATAAATACTGCATGGGTTGAATGGGACAACCCGGAAAGCAGAAAAGGAGCAAGCAGCTTACCTAGTTTTGAAAGGGATTTAGGAGTACTTGGAGATGAAAAGTATGATGCAGCAAGATGCTCAGACGAAGGTAGGGAACTGATCTTACAAGTTTTCTAGTCCTGCTACTACACAAAAATTCTTATGATCCCTTTTCAAGAGAAAGCAAGATTCATTCTCACAATGATATGGGAGGGTTTTTTTCCTTAAAAGTAATTTAAGCACACTTGAATTTGGTAAGAGCCAAAGATATTCGTTTTCTATACCCGAAGATTTCCATGATCCCTGGTGCTTCTTTATTAAGTCACAGGTCACAGATACAATATGTTCAACCAGAAACACCGACAAACTGGATAGAATTGTTTCAACATACATTCATGTCACAATACTTTAACATTATAGATTCAGGCTACCTTAAGTAACCTCTGCTTTATCAGACATTCAAGAAGGAAAGAAAAAGATGGTGCAAATAACTGAATATTAACACAATATATATTTATTCATTTTCTGTCATCCCAGAGTAAGTACTGACAACCAATCTTTCAGACTGAATAGAAGGACTTGACTTGGTAGCCTGACTTAAAACATAAGGGCATAAACATGAAGGCCCATTTTTTTAATGTGCTATCATATAGCGACTTACTATTTGGGGGAAAGATTTTTTTTTTAATTCTTGAAAGAAAATATAAATAGATTATTGAGAAATAAAATAAACTACATTTGAACATCACCACAGTTATACAAAAAACAGTGGGAGCAAGGGTTGTTTTATTTCATGCCATATTTTTAAAAGGCAGAGCAGTATAAGCAATTAATGCTTCCTGGCTTATATTGGTTCATGCAACAACTATTCTTCCGTTTAAACAACCAGGACTGCCACCGACATCAATAGGATTTTCAGGTCAAAAAGACTGCAAGAGAATGATATCAACATGCCATTTACTGTATTTAATAAACACCTACACTGGACAATAATAAAATATATCTACTTTACCCATGAAGCCAAAGCTGTTGTTCGAAGGGTAAATAGTGATAAGCTGTGTATTATTTTCTATACTCAATGCAATAGCTTTTTTTAGAAAATGTAATTCCTCAAACATTCAGAAGTCCTGCTGTAAGTTTATTAAATCTTACCCTTAAGAATATTTTAAGGGACTACAGTTGCCCATATTTAAATATGTATATGCTACTTCTAAGCCTGCCTTGCTAGCAGGTCCTCAAAACTTAGCACCCCAGGTACAAAACTTCCTTGCTCACCCTGATTCTGAAATATGAGATGCCAAACACACAATTTACCCAAGCTGAGCAGACTGTTGAAAGGCTGTTTTTGGCAGAAAACAGATTTTAAAGATTCTGTCTGATCATGAGCACTGGTAAAGTTGATCTGCCTAACCTGGCAAGCTCAAATCTTGAACTCAGTGAGGGTGGGTGAGTACCAGTGATCCTTCTGAGACAGACTGAGCTCAAGCCTGACCTAATTCCAATGCTGTGGAGGCATTTGTTTTCCTCAAAGCACCTTGAAATGAATTCCAAAAATATAACTAGAATAGTGGGTATATTTTCTAGCAGTAACAGAAACTGTGCTTGTCATACAACATTTTGAAAATATACCTCTATGGTAACCTGGAGTTGGGGGGGTGGGCTTGAAAACTTGAAGAAAAAAAAAAAAAAATCAAACCAGATTATGAGAATAAAACTATGGGAATAAACTTTGCAAAGATTAAAAAGCTCCTTTTAAGCATAAAAATTGCAAACCAAATTTTAAGGGACCACCTGAATAAACTCAATGTTAAACTGTGTCTTATTGATAGACAGAACAGAATTGCAGAATCTTAACTATTCGTGAAGAGGCACTTCAGCTTATTTATTATGAATGACAATAATGATGTTATATGCCAAAAAAAAATAAATCACTGTCATTCCCACATAACTCAATTCATTAGATTCACTGTGGCTATTATAATGGCTGCTGGCAAAATAAATTGGGTTTTATAATCAAACAGGTGAACAAGATAGAATTAACTGGATGAACATCTGCATTTTCACTTACTAGAGCAGATACAATCCTATACAGTGTTAATGAACAAGTGGTCATATGCTTTGAGAGACCGTGTATTCTTTAGTCTAATTACAATTAAGTACACTGACATTCACATATTATTATTAAAGAAGCAAGAAATCCACTTTTGCTCCATCCCCTAAATACAGGTATCAATCCAGAAAATAATGCAAGTCAAACATTCCTGAGTGTATGCTCCACATTTTCAGAAACCCTGATTTAATTCACAGGTCCATAGATCAGAAGCACAAGAGTTACGGTTACAGCTGAGAAATCCTGGCTATGTAAACAGAGTTCTGAGAACTAGTGAAAATATATATATTAAATTCCTTTATGAAAATGCAGTGCTTCGGTCCAGTACAATCATCAACTCACTAGAAAGCTTTCAGTGAGCAGCCCAATTAAGTAAAGAGACCAGAGTTTAATTCCCAGTGCCATTGGTCATAAACTGTAAGCACCAACCTAGACTGCAAAACACCTGATACACACTAAAAATAAAAATTCCCATCTAGTTAGGTCAAGGAATCAGTGTTAAATTGGTTTAGAACAATCTTAGGTGAATGCAAGTCTTCATGAAGATAATCTTCATTTCAGACACATGTTTTTTACATGTTTTGGTTTACAGCTACAGCACAGACAGCTTTTCCAACATAGACTTCAGCTACAACCAACGGCCACTTACATTTCAGCCATGAGGCTTTGTTCTATGAAGAGATTACCAAGTATAAAACAAACTGTTTAAAATCGTGTACTACTTATGATTGATGTATCACCTCCTGATTTGTTACAATTTTTCATATTGTTAATGCTCTCATCTGCTAATGTAGACCCAACAGGAATTTCTACATCATTTTTATTAAAACCATTGTCTTTAGATAGTGCTAGGGGAACACCGTCGTTTTTCTCAGCACTCCCATTAGAATGGGTAAGTGTTTTTTCCTGCTGTATGCAACACAGCTGAGAAGCACAAGCTTTGGAGATACAGGGCGAGCTGCACGTTAGCTCAGAGGGCTTGTTGCCAATGTATTCTGGTTGGATGGTCACAGAATGGATCCCTGCTTCATGAAAAACCTTCCGTATGTTATAAGAAGCATCCTGATAATCAGAAGGAGCTTGGCACTTGACGTGAAGGGTAGCAATATTCTTCCCACCTGCAAGTTCCCAAACATGCACCTCATGAAGGCTGCTAACCCCTGGCACTTCAGCTAGTTTGCTTGCTAGAAAACATAAGGGAAAATAATTAGGGAAGTTAGAGAAGGGGCCAAGCACCAGTTCCTGGTTGTCATTAAGAATGTTATTTAAAAGCAGCATCCCCAAATACAGGAGAAAGGACACCTATTAGTGCTCTTCTACCTAAGTGCATCATACTTCAGAAGTAGCAGTATGTAATACAGCTACACACCTTGCTGACTTCACTTTCTCCTGATCTTCCAGAGCCTGCGCCAATCCTTTGGAAGTGCCCTCATTTCCTACTGTTTTCAATGCATCTGGGGTCACTCCATCCCTCCCAGCTGTTACTCAGCACTTGGTAGAATCTCTGTTAGAGTAAATCACTTTGAACCAGTAACCCTGTCTTCCATTTTGCTCAGCTCTGAAGATGCAGGAAATCAAAAACTAAAAGTAATCCCAAAGTTGCTGAATCATTATCATGCCCAAGAATGACAAAATTAATTAAATCAATGCTACTCTGAAATAACAGAGGGTATTTGGGAAGTACTAATATAATTTAGCATTGTTTTTTGAACAAGCATGCCACACAAAATGTTAACAGCTCAAGGTCTGGTATTTTCTATGTATTGTTGGAGTGCCACATTCTCAAAATACACGCTTTAACTAATCCACAGAGATTTGAGTCATATTGCTAGGACACAGGCATGTGACTCCATTTCTCACAGTCTTTGAGCATTTAGAGCTGTTAGGAATATATAATCCAAGTATGTCATTCCAGAAATAACTAGCATTAAAGTGTACTAAAAAAAAAACCCCAATAAAAATTAATCAAAAATGGACTTACTCAGGACTTGCATATTAACACCTTTGGGAACCATTTGCAGCAAAATAGTGGAGGTCTCTTTGATAAGTGGGAAGGCAGATGACAAAACGATGAACACCATGACGACCGTCAGGCTTGGATCAATGTAACACTGCCAGTTACATGGAGCATTGGCATCCAGGGGAAGCACATAAAATATGGTAGCAGTAACTACCACAACCACCGATCCAAGTGCATCTCCCATAACATGTAAAAGAACACCTGAAATAGAGAACATTGTACATTCACTGTCAATCTGAGAGGAAAAAAAACCCAACTAATTGTTACAGACTTTTGGCATTTAAGAACTTAAATGCTATGAACATATACAAAGCTTTCATCTGCTCAAGATAAAAAAGAAAGGAAATAAAGTTCGAACAACAGTATGGTTCCCTAAATTGGCTATGTTAAGTGCTTAGGCTGTACAACAGCCTTCAACATAGGCTTCTCTTCTATGAAAAAGATAGCATTTCAAAGCACAGCAATGTATATTGTTATCTACCTGAGCTTTACTGAGAACCTGGCCCACCTACAAAAGGGCATTGATCAATTATGTTATGACCATGAATAATAATCAGTTTCACCAAGTGGATAAGCAAGGCACGTAGCCCATTTCTGTCATAAGTAGCTGGCTTATTTTTTTTCTTTTGTCAGCAGTTCTATGATGTTGCTGAACTCTGAAATAAATAAAAGCAAAAAAGTTAAATACACGCTTTTGGAGGGAAGGAAATGTCTCTAAATAGAAATGATAAAGGGATGGGCATAAGCACTGACACATACAGGAACGCAGTCCACTAGCCGTCTCAATTTAGAAAATGTTTAGATCCAGGTAAGCAAGGTTCTTTCAGTAGATGTGATATTTTTTATTAGACTGACTGAGTAGTTGGAAAAAAGTTCTTAGCAAGCTTTCAGGTGCAATCACCCTTCTTCAGACAGAGGGAGTCTCAGCTGTTGAGACTCCAAGGAAAGAGAAAAGCTAAAAGTGTGACACAATGTCAGTGAGACTGTAAATAGGTAGAAATTAGGAGAAAGTATATGTCACTGCTGAGGTTAGCTTCTTTTTCCTTCATGTTGTGAAGTAGATCCAGGTAAAAATATTGAAGTTCAAGATCAACTCTTTTGTATGAGTTTGTAGTAATCTAAGTTCAGAGAACACCCCATACCATTCTTCCACATACTTTCATCAATACAGAAACAGAATGAGAAAAGGCTGTACGTTTCAAAAGAGACCTGTTACACCCTTCCCAGTCACCTCTAAGAACTAAACTGAGGAAACAATGTCTCTGCACCGGCACACTAATCTTAGAACTTTTGATTTCCTTTTTTGGCTAGCTAAACTTTTTTCCTCCTTTCCTCTTACCACTGGTAAGGCCAACTGGACTTTCTAACAATCTCTCCCATCCAAGCTACAGGGGTGCAGGTTGTAGCCGTGCTGGTCTAAGGACATAGGCAGACAAGGTTCTTTGGGTGAATCTGTTATCTTTTATTAGACCAACTTAAATAGTTGGAAAACAATTATTAAGCAAGCTTTTGGGTTCAAAAACCCTTCGCCAGGCTAAGGAAGTTTCAACAGTTGGTGTGTGATCTTCCTGGATCCCATTCAAGCCGGCACTTTCAGCCTATGTTAACAGTAGCAAAGCAGGGCTGTGACAAATTCAGTTGTTGATATCGTTCTGTTTGATTTGTGGGTCTAGAATAAAAGAATGCATCTCCTTTAAAAAATACCCTTTAAAACCACTCTCAAAAGTGGTTTGCTGCTGGAAGACATCTGCTTAATCCTTCCCTCTGGACTAGGATGATTATGCATAGCTCCCTTTGACACCCATTAACACTGTCTGCTTACTGTTCACTTTTCAGTGACGTAATACACTAAACTGAACTTAATCCAAGAACACTGCCTTTGCTACTGAGTCCTACCAGCTCTGAGCCCTATATGTGGAAAGGCAAGGCAATACTTACATATAAGAACACAGAAAATGACCTCAGGAAGGAAAACTTTCTGTTTATTGTTGCTTACTATAATATATGATTTTATGGAATATTAAGTTTCATTATATAAAAAACTCAGATGATGACATCAACACGTCACACAGCTGTAACTAATTTTTCTCCCCCTGTTCCTTAAAGGAAGAGCTTGCTAGGTCCTGCTCCAGTACCACCACATGAAACTGCTCTATCTGTGGAAGGCCACTGAAGTTGGTCAATCTATAGGAGGTTCAGGCAAGTGCTGAAGAGGAGGAAAAAAGATCCTTTAGTCATTTAAAGTTAGTGAAAAGGAGCCTGCCCTGCCTACTTTCAAATGCACAAGAGTTAAGCTAAATATGTAAGTGCAAAACACACACGCGCACACACAAAGGGCTAGATCCTCAAATGGTGTAGATGAGCACCAACTGATGCCACAGTATCAATGCCACTTCACACCAGTTGAAGACCTGGCCAAAAGAGCACTTAGATGGACCAAAATTATTAAAACCATCCTAATAGTTTCCTTTAATTTTCACTGGAATTCTGAGAATTCCTCAAAAAATGAAGTCAAGAAAAATTTGACCAGCTTTTATTTAAAAGAAAGAAAAAGAGAGAGAGAGAGAGGTTTTTCATCACAGTACCTCTGATGTTCAGGGCTGCAGACTTTTTCTCTTTTTTCTTTGTCTCCCCCTCCTCAATCTCTTTCTCGTTGTTCCCTGAATCACCTGCATTCAAAGAAGAAACGCTGTGTTGTGTATAAGTTCTACAAACAGAAAAAACATTGATCTTCTCAAAACCAACTTATTTCAATGGGGGGAAAAAAAAACAAAAACACAAAACACATTTAAACCCCAACGAGAGAGAAAAAGGAAAAATCAGGCAGTGTCTGGCTACTACCTTTTGAACCATCATCCCTTCTCCCCCAGCCCACTACAGACATCAAGCCCAGTATAAAAGAAAGACAAGCCTGAAGTGCGGCAGGTGTCAGCATGGACTCTGTAAACTGAAGCACTGCAAGATGAGAGGATGCAGTGCCTTGTATTCAAAGGCTTACCTAACTCAATCCCAACTACACAGTTGATCAATAAAAGGTATCCTCCAAAGACCCCCTTGCCGCTTATGTACTTACTACCTTGATTTTTAAAAATCACACCCTCCTTTTCTAAGGAATGGCCTGCACTCAGAGAGCACCGTTATGCCACATAATAGTTATTTATTTTTAAATCACTCCTCCTTTACTGAGGAAGGACCAGAAATCCCAGAGCACTGGGGTGCAAAGGAACAAGAAGGATGGAGGATGCAGAACCAAAAGGGAGGGGAAGGGAGAGGGGAGAGATGAGGGAAGAGAGAGAGAGGGAGGAAGGGGAGGGAGGAAAGGAAGAAGAGGGGGAAGAGAGGAGGAAGGGGAAGGAAAGGAGAAGAAGAGAGTGAAGAGGAGAGGAAGGAGGGATGGAGAAGGGGAAGAGGGGTAGGAGGGGTGGAAGAAGGTGAAGAGGAGAAAGAGAGGGAGGTAGAGCAGGAAAGAAGGAAGGCGATGGAAAAGGATGGAAGGAGGGGAAAGAGGAGAGGGAGGAAAGGAAGGAAGAAGGGGGAAAGGGGAAAGCAGAGGAAGGAGAGGGTGAAGAGGGGAAAGGGGAAAGAGAGGGAGGGGGAGAGGGAAAGTGGGGTGAAGAGGGAAAGAGGGGAGGGGGAGCGGCGGCGGAGGGAGGCAGGATGCAACCGAGAGGCACCTGCTGCAGCAGCAGCGGGCGGCGGGCGGCGGCGGCGGCAGCAGGCGGCCCAGTCCTGGAAGACGAGCAGCGCGAGCAGGTTGACGGCCAGCCCGAGCGCGCCCACCACGAGCACGAGGCGCGCGGCGCCGATGCGCTCGGGACGGGCCA